AATAATAATAATAAATTATATTCATTAGTAATGCATAGTTTCGGCATACTCTTTTGAAAGGAACCCGGCACGTGCGCCCGAGCGAGGTGGCCCGAAGCGATACTACCCCTATATTGTGTGTCGAGCAACAAATGGCACTTCCTGTTGCCCTCCACGAGTCATAAATCGAGCGACTCCCCGTCCGGTGCCGTCGCCGCCGCCGCGGGCGTCGAAATGAAGAGAGCCGCTGCTGCTGTGCGGCCCGTTGTTGGGCCCTGCCCTGCCCTTCCCTCGGGGTGGGCGCCTTATCGAGGTTGGGGGAGCGGGGAGGTGGGGGGAGGTGGGCTGCTGCTCGGGCCGGGCGGGGCGCCGCGCCTGGGCCTCCCGGGGGCGCTGTCCGCTGTCCTTGTCGGCGCTGGGGGTGCGGCCCGGGCGCCGGAGAGAGATGGACAGCGTGCTCTCTCTCCCCCTCCTGCGCACGCTCCCACGTGGCTCCCACAGGCGCCCCCGGGCGGGGCGCGGCGCGGCGGGGCGCGGCGGGGAGGCGCTCCCGCGACCGCGGGTCGATACGAGACCAGCCTCTGGACCTGCGCCATGCCCGCCACGCCCAGGCCGGGCCGGGCCTCCAGCAGAGAGGCTTGGCGAGGTGGAGCTCAGTCCCGCCCCGCAGCACCACGGCAGCGCAGCAGCGCGAGCGGCCTGGCCTAGGGGGCCCGACGACGCCGCCGCCATCCGGGGGACTGTCACCGCCCGCCCCACCCCTTGAGATGCACGTCGACGCGAGGAGGCGGAGGGGGGTGAGGGCCGAGCTCCCCGCCTGAGCCCCCTGCTGCGGCGGTGTCGCGGACGGACGCCGGGCCGGCGCCGCCTGTCGCCTCCACAACGCCCGCCCCGCCGCTGCCCGCCAGCACGCGCGCCCAGCACGCAGCCCCGCTCGCCACGCACTTCTTCGCCTCCTTTCTGCTGCTGCCGCAGCTGCGCCGGCTGCAGGGTGAGTATTTTTCTCGGCCGTCTCTATCTCCCTGCCGTTGTCTCCTCTTTGTCTCCCTGTCTCTACCTCCTCTTTATCTCCCCGTCTCTGTCTCCCTATCTCTCCCTCCTCCGACCTTCTCTCTGTCTCCCCCATGAGCCGACCCCTCTCGCTTGACATGCTGTCCGGACGCCAGGCGCTAGGTGACCCTCCCCTCTCCTCCCCCGCGCGGCGCTCTGGGGGTGGGGCTGCTCACGACCCCTTCCGTCGCGTTGCCCAGCAGTGAATTGGGGGGCGTTCGGGCGGAGCTGTGGGCTCATCGGCAGGACTGCATCAACCTACGCCCCCCGCCCCCCACCCCCGAAAAAAGTAGGCTGGGGTGGGAGTCACTCTTCTTTGTATCGCCCGCGCCATCCCCGCTGTTGATCGTATGTTCTCTTTCGAGCTTGCGAAGGTTTTCTCTAAGGTGGGGGGAGGGAGAGGGTCGCTTCTTTGGTCCAGGTGGGCTATGATGCTGAAAGATTTGCTGGGTTGATCGCACCACGTGACTAAGTACACATGTACTTTCCCATCTGCGGCACAATGTGCTGGCCGGCGATGCTAGCGCGCATTGTTTCGCGGGGTCCCTCGTCTCGTTTCTGGGCGGAGGGCTATAGGGGAGGTTGGAGGGTCATTTCGACGATGTGATGTTCGTGACGACCACATGACCTCATGGCGTGCAGAGGTGAGCTCCACTCGGGGCACCGCCCACCGGAGAGCTCCTCCGGGCAGCTCGTCTCGGAGGACCTCCCCTCCCCCCCC